ATTTGGAACAAGGATAGATTATGGTGTAGAATAACACAAAGGTTACTTTTTATCCCACAGGATGGTGAGTGAAGCTGCGGACAGAAGCTAGTCCTTAATATAAACGTAGTAGAAGTATAAAGTTTTTGTACCGCTGAAGATAGGTGCATACTGTTATACTGATATGTTCTACTCCTTTCTTTTATACGCAAATCGTTCTCGTCATCATAATAATTCATCATCATCAACAGCCAGAAGACGTCCACTGCTGGACAAAGTCCTTCCCCTCAGTCCTCCAAGTGGAACGACAACTCGCCACCTGCATACACTGGCTCCCCGCAACTCTGGCGATGTCATAATTGCACTAACGAAACTATGAAACTAGAGAATTGTACTGTGAACCTGATTGAAAACAAGTAACCGATGGAGTTTCTTGCTCGTTCTTTTTCTTATTTCAAATTCGTTTTTTTGTACATATTTTACAAAAGATCAAATAGCTTCACTGGAGGACTGACCAACAGACATATTTAATTTTATTTCTTGTTCAGATGTTCAAAAGTGATTTCCTTCTATTTGAAATAAATGATTTTTAATTTGACGTCAACCTTCGAGTCATGTCAATGTTTAAATCTCTCCATGGTCAAAGAGCCCTACTAGATGTCTTAGGTTATTAGTTAAATTAATCATAATAATATATCCTACGATCCATTGGAAACCGGCATAGAATCGAAGATCAATTCTTTCTAGTCCGTACGCCACCACAAAAAGAACTAAAGATCGCTTGGTTACATCAAAACGTCCCCATAGACGGCACCAGTATTCGGATTCCTCACACCTGCACGGATGACCCCTCCCGTGGACTGTCGTATGTATGGCAGCCACGATGTTTAACTTTAGCAATACAGACACCTCACGACTACCATGATCGTTTTTATCAACCAATAGATACACACGGCTGCACATCGACCTTTACATAACCAGTATAAACTGAACGTTAAATGTACGGAAAGATGATGCGACGCGACACCAGGATAAACTGGTTTTGTATAGATTGATGTGTGGCGGTGTGTAGGTACGTGCTAATAAAATAAATACAACTTCAATATGTGTTTTGTTTAGACTAATATTTTATTTAACAAATAAAAAAAATATTAAACACAGAACACAAAATATTACATAAATAAAAAAAACAAATATACAAAAAAAATACAAAATATAAAAAAAATCACCAAAAAAATAAATAAATAGGCCTAGATCAATTCAAAATTAACTGAGCCGTGAATCCATCTGAATCAATGACAAGCTTTTTTTTTATTTTTACAAGAAATAAGTTACAACAATGTTTACAGTTACAATCAAAGAAACAATCATCATCAGAAAACTATAGGTAAGTGAGTAGGTATCGAAAATATTTATTTATTTTAATTTTTTTAATAAATCGTTGCCCCACTCTTGGATGAACATCTTGGTTGGTGCATTTACAAACACATAACGTCCCAGACACAATTCAAAAAGATAAGGCTGTGTAGGCAATTACAATTACACACGCACCAATACAAGCAAAACAATAAATTAATCATTTATATCCACGCTGTTTTTGTTCTTTAGGTATTTTCATTTGAACACTGCATTTACATTAATTATTTTGTGAAAGAAACAATTTGAAGCTTTATATTGTTAAAAAAAATTACGAAGGCCGTATAGGTCTGGCTTTTCTACCTTCTTTGGTAGCGCTACCGCTAGTTTTAGCTTTGTCTTTAAGAAGATCCCTATATTCATTCAAACTAGAGCTCTTCATCGTGTTATAAAAGACACCATAATTTTCATTATATTTTTTCTTCTTTTTTGACACCTTTTCTTTGGAGACTTTGCCTCTCTTAGGTGTTCCTGTACGTCGAGCATCCCCGTACCAACGAAAATTGCCAAGGAAGGGACAGCGAGGCGACAAGTTCGTGCCAAGATTTTCCAGGATTCTCGTCAAAGGCAACGAGTGAAGCCTGTTTTTAGAGAAATCATTGCAAGGTGGATAGTGCATCGAAGGTTCTGGTTTGAACCGAATGGGAATGAAGGATTTTTCAACAAAATTTGAGGTCTTACATATAATTTTTCCAGTATTCGGCTTACAGAACCTAGTTATCTTGGACATCACTATGTTTTCGTTTTTCGCTGGATTGCTTGATTGGAATTTTGTAATGTTACTTGCCTTGTTCAATATACAACTATAGTTAAAGTACCTCATGCGGAGCAGGAGTGGAGAAATTGTCTGTTTACAGATTAAAGTAGAAACAGCCATTTTGACTTCCATAATTTATATTTTGTGGTCTTGAATTACAGATAAGATTTCGATGTATAATTTCTTGACAAATGAATTGGAAAGGAATTGTGACAGAAAATGACAGAATTTGGCTATCAATTGACTATACAGTTTTTAGATACTATTGGCTACTAAGTATTGACCTTCAACCTCCTTGGGCCCTAAAAAGTATACGTCAAGAAATAAGTATTGACGCAAATTGACGAAATGATTTTTGTTCCTAAACTTACTTTCCATTTTTTTTTTGCAGCACCAATTTGTAATGATCATGCTTGACATGTAACGCTATTAATGAGTAAATGAGAGACTACAGCACCTTTAGGCGCCTTCTGTTTCGTTCAAAGGACGAAAGAGAGATCTTGAAATTATTTATTTTTTTATGGCATAAGCTAGTAAACGAGCAGATGGATCACCTGATGGTAAGCAATCGGCGTCGCCCATGGACACCTGGAACACCAGAGGCGTTAAAAGTGCGTTACCGGCCTTTTGGGGATTAGGAGTTTGAGGATCGTAGGGGATTCAGGAATTGGGGGAGATTGGGGAAGGGTAGGGTAATTGGGCCTCCGGTAACCTCACTCACACGACGAAACACAACGCAAGCGTTGCTTCACGTCGGTTTTCTGTGAGGCCGTGGTATCACTCCGGTCGAGCCGGCCCATTCGTGCTGAAGCATGGCTCTCCCACACTTAAACTGTATAAAAAATATTTTTATACAGAAAGATCTTTTTTCGCTGTATTTCAAACATGCCAATTTGATAACCAGTCTATAAATTACCATCTACCTTTCCTATATTTTATATTTTCAAATGACACAAGTAATATATGAACTGATTGCACGGTTAGCACAGTGGCTGGGCAAACTGGCTGTCGAACATCGTGTCACTAGTTCGATTCCCACACGGAACAACTCTTTATGTGATCCACAGATTGTTGTTCCGGGTCTGGGTGTCATGTGTATGTGAACTTGTATGTTTGTAAACGCACTCACTACAAGAGAAAATCCTAGTGTGGAGCAACGCTTTAAAACCAAAAGTAAAATAAAAATATTTTTTGTGTTAAATGGTTTTAAAGTGCTTGATATCCATATTGGAGGTATTTGTCGAAAAAGTTACGATTATATTATCGTCATTAAGACTACCTGTCGATAATGTCGATACCTGTCGACCCTTCAGAGAATAGAAGGTGTAACGTTAGTTATCATATAACTGCAAATAAATTTATTGAGATAATTTTTTTTTATAATATCTTTTTTAAGGGGTAAAAATCATCGAATTACTTCTCCCGCCTGGGTGAGGCGGGAGGGAGTGTCATACTCTTACGACTAAAAACCACCACATTCCTACTCCTGCCGAGCCGGAGCCGGAGCCCCGGTAACCCGTTAGGTTCTCCGCGGCATCCTCGAAGGGGTAGGTAGAGGTGCACATTATGCCACTGTACAATGTAACACCCACTGTTCACTATTTATGTTATGAGTCCCATGTAATGGGGGTGAGCCTATTGCCATATACCGGGCACAATTCCAGACTCCGTGTCACTACTGAGATTTTTTTTAAAACCAACGAGCCAACGAGGCAGTCATTTTCAAGATTCCACTTCACACACATACATATATAAATTCATACACTTTTAGTCTACAAAAGAAATCTATGAAGAAAATATCTACAATATACATTTTTTTTTAAATAAAAAATATTCTTGATTATTTTCATTTATTCGTCTGAATCTAGAGCTTCACGATCTACTCTCTGCCTTCAGGTCGGAGTGTGGGCTTATCTTTCTTCTTCTTATGTTCCTCTATCTGCTGTTTCACCTTCTGCGCCAGAAGTCCTTCATCACACATCGGTTCCGGGTGAACGAAACCAGGCATTTGTATACTTTGCTTTTCTTCCCTACCTTTGTCACCCTGTGGGATGTTCGGATCATCTGAGAAATTTCTCTTAGATACTTTGTAAGGAACAAATTTCCCCTTCACAACTGTTAAACACTCTAGATGATCTACATTCGCGCCCCTCGGAGGTATTTTTGGATGCATCTGTGTAAAGAACTTCATCATCTTCATAATGGTCAAAGACCTAGATTCAGATCGAAGGATCATGTTTGGTAGACCCTGGAGATCTTTGTAAAGTCATTGTTACACTACCTATACAAATCTAAAAATTCGGTCAACATTTTGGCAGGCCAAATTGACGGATAGTGAAAAGCACTAACCACAGAGTACACATTTTAAGGAGCAATAAATGGCACAGACTGTTAATATCAAAGCTGAAAAGAGTAGGGGCTACCATCAGGCTCAATAGATGGCTCTATTTTAAACCAGAATCCATCAGAATGCAAGAAAATCCACCGGAACATCCACGAAGATAGAAGATAGTGGGCTAATAATTCAAAATTCTATTATTTTCATCATAGGTACTCGTGTTGACCCAGTCGTAGAGCCATCGACTGTTGTGCTATCTTTCTCTATGGGGTTGGTGTATAACAGATTGATCACAATGTACAAATAAAAATAAAAAGTAAGGCAACACAATGTAGTAATAATTACTATATTTATTTAAGACATTGAATCAAATCTAAACAATAACAACACGATTATATATCCATAATTTGTTAACATTAAAATAAAAAAAACTTGCATATGAAGAAGCGCTACAAAAAATACTAAAAAATGCGATAAAAAGAAATAAAAAACACTTGCTTCACCGCGGTATAAATTATTATAGACCTCATGTAGGTTTAGGTGGTTTCTCACTGAAGCCTATGTCCTCTCCTCGTTTCAATTTTTCCTTTAATTTTTCAATTTGTTCTCTCTGTTGTTGATGGAAGTAGCCTTCTTCCTGAGCTGCTCCATACCTACCTAGACTACCACCTGATTCCCTCACTGAACCTCCTGCACCACCACCCTTACCAGCACCTGAACCGGGGATCCCAGCAGGCATCGTGAAGTCGGTAGTAGAATCAGTGTAATTTTTAACGTTGAACCATGAGGAACTGTTTTTCAAAGGGATTTTTCTCAGTAACAAAGTGAACTGCTTCCTTGAGGGCCTACTGGCCATGATCAGCGTAGTTGACGAACTGCTCACTCAGTATTTTTAAAGACCAGTATCTTCCTAGTTTCTTACAAACTTTATCAATTTCTTTACCACTATTTCGCCGTCTTCATTTCAATTTTAAGACTCAATCGCAAGAATTGTTCGATAAACAAAACCATTGGGTTTTATAAAGTAATTTTGTTTAATTTTGACGTTTTTGCTCTCTAACTTGTTTGACGTATCCAATGCCAGTGCCAGTTTTGTATGATGTAGATGAGCAAAAAGGTTTTGTACCTCTTTGTAACTACAGAAGGTTGATACAAGTTGTGGGCTCAAGGACGTTAAAACAATGTCTTTGAGTGGGTTGTTTGACGTAAACTCATCGTAAACTGCATGCATACCTATAAAAGCTCTCCACGCAATTTCTTTACTCTCTTGTAGACATAAATATTCTTAGATTTTGTTGAAAATAAACACAAAACGAAAGCCGATAATAATAAAAAAAGGAAAAAATGTCACAGATGTTTTAATTGACTCTAAAAACCTCTAAAGTTTAAACTGTAACACATTAACTTCGCGATAAAATGAATTTGTTGCACTAAATTGCACATATGTATGCATGTTCCAAATTAACACTAATTTAGTACTAATTATTTTTCTCATATAAAAGAGTTGTATTTTATTACATCTGTTTATTATTGGAATTCAGTGGGTAGCAGAGAAAATGTGATTGCTCTTGGAACGATATTGACATTTTTCTTTACAATGGATATAATAAAGGTAATAAAATTATAATATGTTTAGCGTCTCTTTATAAATTCTGTGTAAAATACATTTGCGAACTCACTTAGTCTTCCCTCGGTCGTATGATCTGACTAAGTACTACTACAAAGATAAGTACTTGTACCTCATAAACTGCGATCTCTCCAACCCGGGCATCAAGCATAAAGTTCATGACATATCCATATTGCTGTAGTGAATTATCATGATAATATTTTAGAAATTGCTTATGAGCTGCCTCGTTAGAAGTGAGTGGTGGAAAAAATGTGGTCCAGCACGAAGCTTCAGAAAACTAACAATATTCCTTAATTTCAGATCTCACTCCTTCTTCTGTGTGCCGGTAATGTATTTTCAAGGTAAACCTTAAAAACGTTATTCAATCTTTTAATTATTTTTATATTTTCTTTCTTTGTTATTGAGTTAAGACCAATAAGTCATTGTCTTAACTAATTTGGTCCAATAGGTACGATCATCATGATAGACCTAGTTGAAATTATCTTTATTTAAAACAATTAAATTTTCAGCCCAAATAAATCTTCAAAATCATGGCAATACAACACTAGGAAGATGAACTCATTACTAGATCAGACACAACACTGTTTCTGCTACCCTGACGGTGACCTCCCAGTCGTTAACAAGCTATTGGACTCTGAAGATCACGGCCTGGAGCGTTTAGTCGTGTATCTCTACAAAGCTATCAACTCCAACGAAATCAAGATGTATACTCCAAGTGCAGAAAAACAGATGCTTATACCTGACATACCGTACGATTCCAACGATGGACTTCTTACACTTACAAATGAAAACGTTGATATGTTGTTTTACGACAATCCCTACAAAATAAAAGTGTACAATGATCGTTTCGAAACTCTAAATCCAACTGTAGTAAGCTCCTTACCTATCGGACTACACCAAGGAGAGATAGAACACATATTGCCTGGTGCTAATGATGACACAAACTCGAATGACAATGATAGTAGCAATGGATACGATTACAATGCTTACGCGAATCCTCAATATAATGGTTATGATGACGCTAATCTGCCACAACCAGAAGCCTCACCCATAAAACCTTTAGACTTTGATTCAAACGGTTCTCCTGGCAACAATTTAGAGCCAAATCAAAACACAAATCCAGAGAGCTTGGTGCCAGATCAAAACTGGGTTGACCCAAATACAAATCCAGACAGTTTAGGGCCAGGTCAAAACTGGGTCGTTCCGAATATAAATTCTGACGGTTTGAGACCAGGTGAACACTGGGTGGTCCCGAATACAAATCTTGAGGGTTTGGGGCCAGATCAAAACTTGGTTGACCCAGGTACAAATCCAGAGAGTTTAGGGCCAGGTCAAAACTGGGTCGTCCCAAATACAAATTCAGACGGTTTGGGGCCAGGCCAACACCGGGTAGTCCCAAATACAAATCCTGAGAGTTTAGGACCAGATCAAAACTGGGTTGACCCAAGTACAAAGCCAGATGGTTTGGAATCAGATCAAAACTGGGTGGTCCCAAATACAAATCCAGAGAGTTTAGGGCCAGATCAAAACTGGGTTGTCCCAAGTACAAACATAGAGGGTTTGGGGCCAGATCAACACTGGATCATCCCAAATAAAAAACCAGAGAATTTTGAAGAAATTTCAGCTGTTTTGAATGCAAATGATTTACAAGATCCATTATTGCCCGAATCACAAGCATTCCCGCTGGCACCCGATGATAAACTGCGCTCGCAAATCGTGTATTCCTTCCTTGGAGATCTCGCAACATCGCAGGCGGGAACCTTTGACGCATGGTTCAAGCAACAAATGAAGAGATTCCAACATCCTCATTTTCCCGGTGATCTAAAGAATATAGACAGTAATTTGCTTAAAACACTGGTAGTTAAGATCTTCTCCGAAAATAAAATATATATCAGTACCAATGGTGTGATAACAGGACCAAATGGAGAAATAATAGACATAGCTAATTTAGAACTCCGTGCACTGTTGTTAGGCGAAAAGATCAATCTTGAAATCTTCAATAACAGCGAAAAAAAAATTAGCCTATTAAAACGTTTGCCTTTCCTGGAAGGTATACTAGTCACACTGGTGTCGCCTCCACAAATATTAGGCATAATACCACTTGGTAAGATATATTTAACCAAAAGCTCAATTTATATGGATCAGATACTGGGGCAATTAAGTGCTATAAATAGTTCAAAGGTTTACACCAGTAAATATACTGATGCAACCGTTTATTTGAATCCATCACAATCAACTCTTAACCGTTTTCTCTCCGAACCAGGAAAAATAAGTGTTGAGTCGATATCTTCCATCTCAAGCGCTGGTAATACAGGTAATTGGGAAACAAATCTACACGCTCAAGCTGTTCCGCTTTCAAATAAAGAAACGCAACTGTCAAGAGCGGGTCCATACTGGAACAGTGGACAATATTACTCGGCTCCAAATGTACCATACCCTAACTGGAATCCTTTGGTTGAAATCCAGCCTTTAGGGCAAAGAAGGAAGTCAAATGTAAAGATTGAACATCTTGTTGAACCGCCTCCAATCAAAACAAGAAAGAAGATAAACGATGACCCTAGCACACAAAAAGATACGAAAACAAAAGTAACAACTACAATTACACCTTCAGGGAATGTGAATTCAACAGAACCTGCGAGAAGGTTCTCGGGACCTATTCTTCAAGGAATGTTGAAGACATTAATGTTACTTCTAAATGATACACCAATTAGAAGGCAGTATCAATCAAAACAGAATACTACGCAAAATTTTGACATAATCAGTGATTCTGAGTTGACGAAGTATGATGAGGATGGTCCAGATTTCAGAATCATTGGTGGCAGTGCTGCTACCGGCAGTGGAACCCCGGTCAGTAGTAAGGGCCGGAGTGGCTATAATGAAGAAATGGCGTCATAAAACTTAATGCACAAAGCATACAATTTTCATATTTTTTTTAGTAGTTAGTTAAGTTAGTTTTAAGTGAATCCTTAGAGATAAATGAAACGGCTTGTTAATGGAATTTTGATTATAAATTAATTATTAAATATATGGGTTTGGGTGGCATCATTACTTTTGTCTTTTATTATTGACCAAAAAAGTATAAACACAAATCTATCTTTTCACTTACGACATCTATCAACATTACTTGAAACTAAACTCAATTTGCGAAATACACCCGTTTGAAATAGTTAGCTCTTTATCAAAAAGATGTCGCTTCATAGTATCTTTAAACACTGCCATCTACACCTTACATACCGAACTGTTTAAAGTACCGCGGAACAAAAGCATGCTCCTATTTCTCAAAAGATGGCGCTGTTAACAATACTTTGTATTCTCGACACTAGGTGGCAGTAATTTTTTAAAAACTTGAAAATAAATATCTTGCGAACTCCAATAAAGTCAAAACTACTAAATTAAGCTTAAAAATATAATATCTAACATATATTCAGTGAAAAGAAGCCTAAAAATGGCGGCTGTGATTTGTTTACAATCCCCCGCATACACAACTCGTCGGTCAAGTTAGCATTCAAGTCAAGTTAGTCGCGCTGCTCAGCCAGTAACCGCTAGTCAGTCAGGGAACACGAGTGCCATTGGGCGCGCTCTAAAAATATCCGCGGACTTCGGCATGTTAATAAAACGAACAAAATAACTTGACTTGTCAATGACAATAAGTATGAACGAAGATTGTAAAGTGATTATCAGTTTTTGATACAATTTCGGCGTCAGTTTGTAAGAGACAGTTTATTTTGAAGTAAACTTGATATCGTAGTGAATTCGCGGTAATTTCCCCGTGTCTTATTGTTTGTGAATGGAATCAATGTTGTTTATATAAAAGGATGTTATCATTACGGCACATGGTACTAAGAAACTGAATTTTCTAAATTTCATGGGATTTAAAAGCTGGTAAGTTTCGTTTGTTTATCTCTTTTTTGTTGTCGTTGCGACTCTTAACAAAGTTGCAGTTAAGTTAGCTTTATGTTAGTAATGTTTGTGTTTGGGTTTTGAACTTGATAAATGTTTTTTATTTGGTTAGGTACCTACGTAATGTAATGATGAGTATAGAGAGGGTAATTCCTTAATGCTTCTATAAATTAATCAAAGTTTGATTACCGACACTTTGCCTAATACATATTCACATAGACAGACATCTGTCTAAGTAAGTATTTACTCAAAACTTCGCAAAAATATTGTAATTACAAACACCTCGCATTTCATTATTTGAGGTGTGAATTAAACTTTTTACAACGTAACTTCACAAACGTGGGTAAGCCATATAAAACACCGGCTAAATAGGTAGATACTAAACATTCTGACAATGGTATCTATTTTTTTAAACTAATACAATATCTACCTACGTATCGAAACCTCAATCTTTAAATAAATATTATAAGTAATGTAAATAAGGACTGCATCATTGGCCAAATGGTAGCAAGTGCGACTGCCGGGCACAAGGGGCCTCGGGTTCGATTTCCGAATCCGGCAAAATACTACTGGGTTTTTAAAAAGTCTCAGTAGTGTGTAGCACGGAGTGTGGAAAATACAATTAATAAATTCATAGTAAGAAGTACCTAAGATAAGATTGACTGTAGATTTTTGAAGGTAAACAATTTGATACATTTAAAAATAATCTTGATTTACTTAATTCTGCCTTAAAATATAATCATAAATAAAATCAATTTATTACCATTCGTATACTTACGAAAACATCGACAATTTAGTCTCATTTACTCATCAATTCCTCTAATTTAATCCACGGGCTAATTAGCAATAAAATTACGTAATTCTCAAATCAGCTACAGCCATCAAGACAAAGAAACCATGAAATTAAACAAAATACCATTGGCAATCGAAGTGGCACTAATAAACAGTAATATTTCACAACTTAAAAAAAAAACGACACTATGGCATTGGACATCATCCATTGCTATCAGACCTTGTGTCGGCCGGTGAGACACCCTTGCAAAACAGTTATTGTACCGCTAAGTAAAGTTTTGCAACGTTTCTCTCGTCTCCATCATTCCGGTCAATGTATGTAATGTAAATATTTATTAAACTGCGACGACTTTATGGATAAAAAAGCATGTTTTAATTCAGTTCAGGGTCGTGATATATGCAAAATGGAAATTTAATTCAGTTAGAAGTGCTACATGCAATGAACCTTATTGAGTGCCGTTCATAGTACAAAACAAACTGTGAGGCAGTATTATAAAGTTAAAAGTTTCCAAAATTTGGACAAGACCATAAATAATCCAAAAATGAGGACAATTGAGGTCATTCTTGAGTGCATTATCGCATGTCCTACGTAAAAGATACTCCTTTAACAACTGGTTTAAATCCATTGTGGTCTAACCATTTCGAACTGATTGATAAGTTCAATCGGGAGGATTGCAACGTACAAAATTTCTAATGAAGTAAAAATGTAGCGAATAAAATCACAAATATATCTTCTTTATTCAATTACGCAACTGATCTTATTGGAGCATAACTTTGACCTTACAATCCGTATTCAATAATGTCTAATGAACGAACCACTAAACTAAATTTCAATGACAAAAACCAATTTCGCGATTACTAGGAAATCCATTGAAGGATTTCTACTAGGTATTGAAACTAGGCAATTTGCTTACAATGAGTCACTGATTCAATTAGAATTCCATGAAGTATATAATGTAGAGTTGTGAACAGTAATGAATGGATCGGACAACATGATTTCAATGATGAAAATGACAAAAATACAGTGATCAGACTAGCGGAGAAGCAGGCATTATGAGTTCTGTATATAAAGTGAATAATTACAAATATTGAGCCAACTATAGACTACAATAATAAGTCAAAGTCATTTATTTCAATTAGATAGAACAGGAAGGCACTTTTGAACGTCAAAACAAAGTAATGAAATAATAAAAAAAAATGTCAGTCTGTAGGTCAGTCCACTTTTTTTAAGGAAGAAAATCGTCGAATGACTTTTCTCGCCTGGGTGAGGCGGGAGGGAGTGTCAGACCCTAACTGACTAAAAACCACCTCGTTCCTACTCCTGCCCTTCGAGCCGGAGCCCCGGCAACCCGTTAAATCCTCCGCGGCCCGTTAAGTCCTCCGCGGCGTCGGTCATTCCTCTAGTAAAGCTATTTGCTCGCTTATTTCAAACCTAGATCTACCTAGATAAAATGTAGATAACACAGATGCTCACGTTTATGCTACTTACACAAGCAGTTAGTCCTGCAGCAGACTTCAATTTACTGATGATGATAATAACTAATTATACAAACGATAATCGTATCCAATACCTTCAGCTACACAATTCATCACCGTCCGAATCAAACACTGTCGATTTCAATATAAAAAAGATCATTAACGAACTCAACACGTGTGAAGTTCTTTCCGGATAACTTCTAAGAACTCAAGATTCTCAAAATCTTTAAATATACAAACTTTTTTGTTCATAACCTTGTTCACACTTGAAATTCGAACATTTGAAGTGCCTTCGAGTAGTTTGTGCTTAGTCGAAAATAGAAAAAAGTAAGCAGTCTCTTGAACTTCAAAAATGTATAAAGTTACGCTTCCCTGGTTTTGTTCTTGAGTATTATTTTCATTATTACGGCTGATGATAATTTAAGTATAATAAAATTATAATAAAACACACACGGCTACACATCGAGCTTTACATAACCAGTATAAACTGAACGTTAAATGTGCGGCAAGATGATGCGACGCGACACCAGGATAAACTGGTTTTGTACTAGATTGATATGTGGCCGTGTGTACCTATGATACTAGATTAAAATGATACATTCTAGAAAAGAATAAGGCAACAGATCATTAATTACTTTAGCGCATAGTAATTTCTTTACCTTTTAGAAACCAATGATGTGGTGATTGTTAGATCTATTTCTGAATACAAGGTTATAGTACTTAAGTAAGGTTCAAAACTCTTAGTCACAATTTATACTGTTGGGTTTGCATCCAGAACTCGTGATTACCCTTACGTCAATTCTTACCCTCCTTTAATTGTTTACGCGAGACCCACCTCTGCTTCATCGATTTATAATACTGCTGAACAGATATTCCATAATCCCCAAGATTGGCAGACAGCTTGAGGATCGTAGTTTTAGATGATGATGTTGCCAGTTCCTCGATATCTTTTATCTTCAGAACAACACATGAAGGCGTTAAAAATATTACAATGCCCAATTAACCTCAAATTCTTAACCCCCAAAAGGCCGGTAACGCACTGTTGTGTTTCGGCTGTCCATGGACGACGTCGATTGCTTACTATCAGTTGATCCATCTGCTCAAAAAATGAAAAATACATGGTCCAAATAGTTGGTTCTCAACTTGTAAGTGCATTAACACAGAGACAACCTATTTTATCATACGCTAGAACAAGTTTATTTACATTGAACTCAGTATATGTATTACTTAATTTTGGCAATCGTAAAACATTACCTCACAACTTGTTTGACTAGGCTGTTGACAAACTGTATGCTTGAACTATGTATGTATGTAATTTTGAACTGCGTTTGGTGCAGTGACTGGGTGATCGGTTCCTTAGAGAGATGTTAAGCGTTGCTCCTCAAAAGATATTTGTCCACAAGGTAAAACATATCCTATAAATGCTGTTGCTATTAATAAAAATAAAATAATTACCCCAATTATTCATGTATATTTTAAGTTGAATGATTCATAATAAATTCCTCGTCCAGCTAAAATTGCTTTGAGACAATATAACAAATTGTTTCTAAAAGTAATAAAAACAAAGACAGACGTTATGCAAAATTATCACACTTTGTTATAAAAATTAAAACATAGACTATGCTATAAATTATGGGATATTTTAGGATTTTCGACAGAAATATGTCCAAAAAGTGGATACTCAAGTCTTTTTTTTCTACAGCCTAAAGAGGCGGTTACATCAGTAGAACACCTTCAAATTATAACACCACCCATAAACGTCATGTCATTTTAACATGATAAAGCTCTTTGATGTTCCATCTCAATCAACTAGATTGTCTCTTCATACTTAAAATGCAGTATCTTATCGCGATGGTCATCATCTTCATCATCATCACAATTATAATTTTAATCGAAATCAATAAATAATTTAAAAAATTCTGAATATTCTAACGATTAATTAATTTTTTTAAAAGGGTAACATTTGAATACTCCTTGATTCTAATTTTCAAACTTCGAATTTGAAATTGTCAACAACTCGTGTGACGTCAAATAGTAGTTTACTTTGAATGTGAAATATAGTATATGTAAGAAATATAGATCTCTTTTAATACAAGTATAGTATACAAAATTGAAGGTCATTATTATTAAAAGTATTTGTAAATCTATCCATTAGTCATAGCGTGTCAGGTACGGTATGAATCATAGAGTTTTTATTTTTTTGTTATTTTACCATAGAATTTTGCTTTTGTTGGTAAAAAACAATATGTAGAATTTTATTCTAATCTTAGGTATTTTTGGATAACGATGTTAAGTACCTATAATGAATTTTAAACTTGACTATTTTCCTACATAATTTATAAATGGTTCATAAATTCAACAGATCAATTCGTGATCCTAAATTCGGTGGCTGGAAGTCAGTAGCTGAGTGTTAAAACCTTGCCTAACCGTAATTGCTACTAACACTAGTATTTAAAGTACGTTACTATGTTAGGTCATCTATGAACTACGAGTATCCAAACTCTATGGATGTCTATTGCGTACCTAAAGACAAAACAATATATTTTTCATTCAATAAACTTGTCATCTATTAGGACATGACTTAATTACATTAATTTACGACAGCCACATCAGTGTGTAAATCTGATAGCCTAACTCCGTAAACAAGTTTATAAAACGCATCGTATAATGAAGTGATTAAGGTTGAAAATAGCCTGGAGTATGCACTTGAGTGG